TGATGTTGATGACGATGAACAGGATGCTGAATGAGGTGGTCTCTTGTCATGTGCTTTCAGCCATCGCGGAGCTCTTCGAGCACTACGCGGGCAAGGGCGAGATGCAGAAAACAGCCTGCCGTCCCCCCCTCCCCGGCGACGACAGCCCGACTGAGCTGTGCAGCCAGACGCCTGTCAATATGGGGCCATCTGAACCACCAAAAAGTAGCCGAAGACTTGTGCTGCTACCCCTATCGCGTCTTTCTTCAAGACGATATAGCAAAACCTCGCGCTTTAGGTACGTTTCAGTGGATGATTATCTCTCATGTGGCCTTGCCCGCACTACCCTTTTTCCGACGGACACTATCTCCCCATATCTCCCACGCCTTACAGTTCTTTCCTCACGTCAGTCCTCTCTCTCTCTCTCTCTCTCTCTCTCTCTCTCTCTCTCTCACTCCATCCCTGCTTTCAGCATATTTGCCGCCATGACTTCATATGCGGAACCGTCGTTATCAGGCACCCAATAGTGACTCGAATGCTGGAAAGAAGCGCTGGCGCTTGGACTCCACATCTGTGCACCTAAAAATAAATTTTCATTACCATTCACGGGCCTCCTCGGCAGCACTTTAGCCATGTCGATATTAAAGAACCCGTAGTACGTAGTCCGTTCTCTCCCGTTTGCGCTTCATGAGTTTTTCTACACACTGGTAGCATGACAATCGTATTTAATTGTGTGCGTATATACGCAGACTTTGCGAACAGGACTGAAACCAACATTTTAGGCTCGTTTTCGATGAAGAATTTCTGACAGAGGTCACTGTAATGCTAACTTTCATTTCAGTCCTTAATTAACAAGAAAACATTCGAAGCATCAAATACCATTCGGAGCCGGAAGAACGTGTGTGCTACCCCTTCTGTTCGCTTCTTCTTGTTCGGTTGTCTATGAGATTTAGACAGCACTTTCATGGCAAAATCCGGCTATCTCGGATGCTTTTTCAAAATCAGGCGCCTTGAAATTTTTTTCCTTGTAAATAATCAGTTTTTTTGCTGTGTCACGTAAGCCAATTTCTTCAGAGTGGTAATTACAGTCTGTGAGAGAATTTCAGAGCGCATGCAATGGCGTTAAACCATGTTTCCTTTGTTCAGGTGCCCAGTCTGTAAGTTCCGACGGTTTGCCCGAGTTGGCCTTCTGCGTGCCCACCTCTTGAGCGACCACCTCCACAGCCGGAACGCTAATGTCTGCACGAAACTCAGCCGTCCGTAAGTTGACAGTGACTAACATGTCAAAAATGTCCGTTCCTCGATTTAGTTCCTTCATTCTGGCTGCGTCTGTCTCCGTGAGATAGTGGTCGCAGACGGTAGTCGTACTCAGGCTTCCGGTGCTTATGGATTTCGTCGTACCAACTCTGATGGTATAAACGCTGCTTCGTCTCATGCGTTTGTCGAGTGTACTTTCAGAGAGGAGGGAAACTACTTTCTGGCTCCGTGTTCCCCTGCCCAGCGCATCAGTTTTTCAGCCGACTCAGTTTCCCCTTTAGATCTGCTCCATCGCTGCCTAGAATCAGCTGCATTTATACCCAATTCCTTCAGTAGACTCCCGAGAGTCCCTGCTGGGTGTGCCGTAGTATTGTGACTTCTAGGGCCGGGCCCGGTGGCCGATTATTGCGATTTCAATCCTAATGTGGTCATTTATAAGTACCGTACTATTACTACGTAGTTCGCAAACTAAGAAAGTAAAATAGCAAGGCGAGCCCTAAGAATTATGCGGGCTTATGTACGTGAAAAGATGTCTTATGTGGTTTCTAATCATATTGGGTTCCCCAGAACTGCACTACTGCAAACCATGGCCTGCTTTCAGCCGACAGTTAGTCACAAAAAGAAAACAGAAGACCAAGATCAGAGCGTAAACATGAAATGGTAAATGCGACTTGGTTGAACCCGGCCAGAAATCCATTCATGCACGGCGAGCTCAGCGTCTCCGTCGTCATTATCAGGAATCTCATAAAGTAACACCTACCGGTGCCGTCTTCAGTTCGGGTTTTACCAATGTGCCAATGTATGCGTGTCCCGAAAAATGTGAACGTAACAAACATTGTTACTGAAATAGTTTAAGTAATATGAATATAGACACTAGGTCAACCGAAACACACTAAACCACATGTTGCTGAAACACGCAAGTATGTTTGATAACATGTAACTTTCGGAGAGGGTAATACAAGGGGAGGAATGTGTTACTTTATGATTTTATAGTGGTGCGTATGATTGTATTTGTCAAGCTTCCTCTTAAAAGAGTCCACGCCCACATTCCATGCCTTAGTCACTTTCGGGAAGAAGAGCCTCCTTGCGTCCAGTCTCATCCCAGTCTCACGTAATTTGGAGGGTTGTCCCCTCAAGCTATTGGTAGTGGCCAACTCAAAGAATTCGCCAGATGTGAGGCAATAATCCTGACTCCTCAGCATGCGAAGGGCCTGTATTAGGTCGCCGCGCAGCTGCCTCCAGTCCGAAAGAGGTCAAGATTGAACTGTCGTGTTTCATAAGGCAGATATCGTCGGCCTCGAACAAGCTTAGTTGCCCGTCGTTGGACCTTTAAGGGTGCTGCTGCCTTTGATGTTCCGGGCTCTCCAGGCCTGAATGGTAAATTCTAGTTGTGGCCGAAGACCCTACCAAATCACACTTCGTCGAACTTCACAGAAGCCCGCTTGACATTGTGGATTTATCTACTTTCAAGCAGTGCAATGATAACTTCAGCGACTTCATGATCCACACTCCTAGATCCTTCTGGGCCTCTACCTCTGATAGCGGTGTGTGATTCAGATACTACACCCTTCGGTGCGCAGCGCTGAATCTGCTGATTCGAAGAGTCACTCAAATGAATTCCTGTAAGGGCACCCTGTTGGCACGTCGGGCCACCCTTCGGCGACAAAGCGCCGATCACCGAGAAATGCTTTCATGCCCCATCACAGTTGTGTCACTGACAGGTCCAGTCGGCATGATTTCGCAGGCGCTCTGAATGATCAGTTCAATAGCTCACTTGTGCGCTGCGAACCGATGTCACCTACGCTTGCAGTTATGCATATTTGCGGTGCTGTTATCCACGCCGCGGTTGTTGTGGTTGGCGCCCTCGCCCGGGACGCTCAAGCTATCAGGGAAAGAGGCCGTTACAGTGAAATTCTGGAAACTTCGAGGAAGAAGATTCGCAAACATTTGCTAACATGAACAATTCGAGTGACTTCATTCGTCAGCCAGCTAACCAGTCGGACCTTGGGCCATTATGGGTGTGTCTGCCGACCTTCCGAGTGTTGTCTGGCATGCCTCATGCGTGGTCTTGTCGTGGTGGGGATTCGAAATGCGGAGATGAGAACACGGGAAACATGTGCAAAATGAGTCCTTAGTCACTACGGAGTTGGAAGCCATTCCGTCAACAATGTGAGGCTTGTTGGTTTCGCATGCTTAGCCGCTTGATCACTGCAATTGCCCGCTTCCAACATATAGTCGAATGATGGCCGCAGTGACTCAATAGTAGGGCGTTGGACTTGAAAATGCCCAGTGGCCAGAGAATCTGACTACGAATCCCAGGTCAACCGGACCTGGGGTTGGGTATGGCTCGTCGCCAGAGTTTGTCATCCTTCATTCCCTTGTGTTTTTCGGTGCTCCTTTATGTACATATGAATATCGGTTATGCGACTACCCGCGAGGACTAAAACTTGGGCCCCAAAGCGCAACGGGCGAGCACGCCCCTTAAGCTGATCGGTGAACACCCTGCCTACGATGGCAGTCAGGGTAATATAAACTGTATACTTGTTCGAGCATGCTGATCCCAGCGCGCTTCATGGCGTTAACACTACCAGATGCGAGGGCGGTGGTTCAGACTACCTGTTGTTGGAAAAGGACGGTCTGAGGTTGGATGATATTTACTGCCTCAACCATCTCGTCACTGACAGCGCCTTCCTTCTGTCCGTTGCTGTGGCTGCCAACAACCGACGGCGGCGTTCGATTCAGTTCATCGTGAGTCCCTGTGGCGGATAATGGAGCTAGGTGGTATGCCGACAAAAATGCCACCATCAAGGCCTACAATTGTTCAACCTTTGCGCGAATTCTGGTCCATATCCAAATGTCCGAACCGTTCAATATTCGATTGGGCCTCTGGCATGGTTGTATTATGTCGTTCATTTTGTTCAGCTTCGCCATTGTGTGGATTTTCGAAGGGTCAAGCTGGTTCTATCACCTCGAGAATACGAAACCAAGTAATAGCAAAGTCCTATGAATATTCACGGCTCCCCCCTTCATCGGGGATCGTTGGACTTGATGTGATGGCCGATATTCGCGTCGTTAATTGATGCAATTACATCACGTGTGTTGGATGTTGGTGTGATGAGTGCTCGACCATCTGACCCACCGACCCTGGGATTGGGAAAAGTGTTCACCTGTGCGCTCTCCGCGTGGCCAATTACTCCACCCAGGCGAAGTCTCAGCATTGAGTATGGAAGGGGAAGGTCATTACACTTGTTAATGGACTGGGGGTCAGTAAAACATGAGTCAAGCAGCTCCCGGCTCACGCGGCTGTCGCCTCTAGGGAGAATTCCGGCCTCCTCGAATTTGAATTTGTGGCCGGATCTCGTCGAATGAGCCGCAACTTGAGAGCTGGCGTCATCGCAGCGCTGCAGCGTGCTCGATTATTAGCGTCCGGAGCATTCCTCTGGTTTCTCCGAAGTAGTTGCTTTGTCCGCGACTGCACCAGATCCGATAAACGACTCCAGACGTTTTTTGCCGTGGCAGCGGGTCTTTGGGTTTCATTACCTGACGCCTGATGGTTGCCTCCGGTCTGTGTGCAACTCCAACCCCAAGTGGTGCGAGAAGGCGTCCGACAGCTTCCGAAAAGTTCTTGACATACGGAAGCGCTCGCCAAAATTTGGTATCCGTACGGTTAGGCCTTTCATCCCTTTTGCGTATGCACCGGTTGACAAAGTTGCGCGGGTAGCCATTGACTTTGAAGACCCGTCGGAAGTATTGTAGTTCGGCAATTTTGTCTTCCGGCTCACTGCAGTTCGTTTCGACACGCCGGTAGGGCGTCCTTACACAACTGCGTTTGTGACTGATTAGGTGGTTGTTGTTGAAGTTCCGTACTTGCATCGTATTTTTCGCTTTCCTGAATACTTTGGTTTTTAGTCCACCACAATGTTTGGGGCATACGAGGATATTCAGGAAGGCCCGGGTGCCAACTGACTGACCTGGTGATGTTGTCTTACTAGCCTCAAGCTTTAGTGATCTGCAGTCTGTGGTCATGGGTCAATGAAGCCACNCTGTTTTTGAGTTGCATTCCTGACCAGGAAGAGGTAACCCTCGGAATTAATGGTTGTCAACTTGAAGAAGCACAGTTTTAAGTACCGCGTCGCAGCTGCCGCATAGACCGAGTAAGTACGACTTTTTCTTCCGAATCGGTGGTCCCCGCAGGGCTTTCACAATCCTTAGAAAGTGTCTATCGACCCTACGCGACTGTTAGAGGTATAAGGAATGTTAACAGAGGTCCTCAAGACTTCTGTCACCATGAACTAAACACGTTGAGCTAGTCCTTGTGCACATGCGAAGTTTCGCGCGCAAGAGCTGGGGAAAATTTTAAGGCAAACGGAGGCGCGTTTTTGGATAGAATTGTTGTATTTGTGCTGTTCGTAAGCCTTGTGTAAATTTATCTTCTCAACGTTAGTCGAGGATTGAACAAGAATTCAGAATTCTGCTTTATGGGCATAATTGTGCTTTATTCTTTTCGCCGTACTCTGTTTCTTTATTATAAGCTTTTTTTAGTGTTGACTTTCCAAAACCTACCCACCCTATTGAAGAATTGTAGTCTGTTGCGCATTCCAGGACCAGATAAAGTGAAGCTGTTTTGCTGTTCTTGTCAGGGCTACCTTGCCTGCGGACGGGGAATCAGTTTGTGTCCCTCATGAAGATCCTCCACCAACCCCTGGTTCCCCCACGGTTGCCGAGGATCCCTCCTCGGCCGGAAACGAGGCTGCCACTTTGACGTCTACGTTGCAGTCGCATGACGTTGAACGCAGTGCCACACAGATTGAATTCCTGGTGGGCGGCTATCGCCAGAAGTCTGCTGTCTCCGTCACTTCCAATGCTGGCTCGGGCGGTCGGAGGCGCTCCTTCCAGTGTGTCATATGCAACAGAACATTCAAGAAGCGCAAGTTCTTTGAGGACCACGAGCAGCTCTGTCGGCAGGTGGGTTACTCATGCATGTATGATCATGAAACTTAAAAGCTACCTCCCCACCTGGGAGAAGGTCATTGTGGCGAGCTTTGCTACTTCCTACCGATTTCTGAGGGCTGAACGGCTGAACCGTAATCTAACAACGACACAGAACTGTCCAAATTTGACCCCGGAAGGCAGAACCTGTCTAGTAACCTCGTTACAGGCTCCTCGGGGCATCTGCTCTATATAATGCAACCAAAAAATTTAAGTTACCCCCAATACTGGCAGGGTTCATTCTGATGACTCTTTTTGCTTAAGGGTGTCTTTTTTGATCGTAGAAACAAGTCGAACGGGAGAGGAGACAACGCTGGCGAGACAATCGGAAGTCCGCAAACCGAGATAATCTCGACTGGGAAGCACCTAAGCGCGCCCTTGCTCCATTCAGCCCCGACAACACTGTCGCATCAGGACCGCAGCCCAGTGGTGTGGTGGATCCCTCACCTTCTTCCTCCTCCGTGCATCCCCTCACCTCCCTCCCAGACGTTCCTCGTCGTTCTGCACGTTCCAGGACCCGTAAATAGGATTTCCGAGAAACCAGTGACCATGTCGCCAAGTCTCATCAATCGCGGACGATCCCCTCCATTATCGTGGTGTGATCTCTTGTCTCGCAAAACAGGCAGCTTCTTCTCGGCCCTACTCACCGGTTAGGGCCCTCATAGTTCTATTTTTTATGCACATATTCACTTGCATACGTTTACTAGCTTTTAAATGCAAGGCTTCAGTTATTTTATGCCTTATCATCTCAATAAATTTGTTATTCTCTGTTGTTTCTTCTGTTATTGCTGCATACTTCGGTGTTCCATTTGTCTGCGCGCTTGAACCACTTTTTCGCACACATAGTTTTTTCCTGGGCTCTAATCTGTTTCCAACCAGCGCCTAATTCGCGTCGCATCCTCAAACCGCACTTAGTTCTTACGTTTTTACGGCGGTGCCGGTAAATACATTAGCAATGACAGCTGTAGGACTGTTGTGCAAGTATTAGTGATAATTAGTGTTATTCTTCTTCGTGGTGGTGGTAGTAGTAGTAGTAGTAGTAGTAGTAGTAGTAGTGGTAGTAGTAGTAGTAGTAGTAGTAGTAGTAGTAGTAGTAGTAGTAGCAGCAGCAGCAGCAGCAGTAATAACAAATAAATAATAGTAGCCATAGTAGTAGTACCATTAGTGTTAGTATTGGTAGTAGTAGTAGTAGTAGTAGTAGTAGTAGTAGTAGTAGTAGTAGTAGTAGTAGTAGTAGTAGTAGTAGTATTCTAGCTAATGTTTGCATTTGGCTCGCGATCCCTAAAGCCTCTTTTTGGTTACTAACTAATGCAGTTTACCATTTTTGAAGGAAAACGTTTTTTCGTCATCAACATCGTGCCTGCTGGACCTGATCTACTACTGAAATCATTCTTCTAAATTGCCTTTGTTTTAGGACTCAAAGGTATCAGATCCGACAAAGAAGGAGCAGGCTGAGGATACACCGGACATGCCAGCTCCACTTGTTTCAGTCTGGACCGGTCCTGCACTAAAGTTCGAGCTTGTAGCCGAATGCAGCACGTCACTGGCTCGACATTGCCGCATTTTCTTCCCTGGTCACTGTCCCAATGGTCCGGTGGAGACCCCGGTCTACATGCCAGTGGGCACCCAGGGCACCATCAAGGGGGTCACAGTGGCCCAACTTGAGGCCATGGACTGTCGTATACTGTTGGGCAATGCCTACCACCTAGGCCATCGTCCCGGTCCAGAAATCCTCACCCGGGCGGGTGGTCTTCACACCTTCATGTCCTGGCCACGCGGTATCCTCACTGACTCAGGCGGCTTCCAGATGGTCTCTCTCTCAAAACTCTCTTCAACAGATGAACATGGCACCAGCTTCTGCTCTCCGCACGACGGATCCCAAATGCTTCTGACACCGGAGGAGTCAGTGGGTCGAATTCAGGCCTCCATAGGATCGGATATTGTTATGCAGTTGGATCACGTACTTCACGTCACGACCACGGGTGAAGCCATCACGGACGCGACTCGAAGGTCTGTCCGATGGCTCGATCGATGCATTAAAGCCCATGAACCGCAGTTAAGTCGGCAGAACCTGTTCGCCATAACACAAGGCGCTCTGGATTCGGAGCTGCGAAAGGAGTGCATTGGCGAAATGATGAAGCGGAAAGATCAGGTCTGTTTTTTCTTTCACTCGACAGAATCGCCTTTACACCTCTCTCCTGTCCAAACAATTCGGCAATCCTACACCTTGATTGAACCACTTTGATAACTTCCATTTCGGAGGAGTCATGGTAACCGACTTTGTGATAGCGAGAGCTTGTAGTACAAACAGGCTCGGCCCACTGACCGGACAAGCAGCCTTTCAACAGTATTGTCGTGGCTAGGATGCCAGTTGGATGGGTTGGGCTGTCTGAGTCCTGTTCTCGACTGTCATTGTAGCTTTGTGGCTATTTTTTTAGAATTCGACCGCACCTACTTTCAGATTGTGTAAGTTGCCACGTATCCTGGTTTTTCCTATGAAATTTTGCGCCCAGGGACTTTTGTTCGTCCTTCTTCTGTCATCGAAGGCTCTAACTGTGCGACGAAGCGAATTTAGATGGTGTATATGCCAATAGCGACCACTGGGCATTTGCATGAATAACCGTAATTGATTGGCTAGTGCGTGACAGCAGTCATCTTGATCCCCTACCGTCCCAAGGTGGCGAGATCACTTGACGAACGACTGGCAATTGAATGATCCCAACGAGCCTGGTCGCTTTTTGTGGCCTGCGGGCTTCTAGAACACATGCCTACCGGCATTTGACGTATTGAAATAATCAAGCCACTAAGAGGATAATCCCGATTCTTGTAATTCCGCCTTTAGCCACTTAATGTGTTATTTGAAACTGTGTGGTAAGCTCCCACCTTCCTCTTCTTTCAACAGATTCAGGGCTTCGCGATTGGCGGCCTCAGCGGCGGCGAAGCCAAAACGGACTTCTGCCGCATCGTGGATTTGTCCACACGCCTGCTGCCTCGCGACCGGCCTCGCTACCTGATGGGCGTCGGCTTCCCGGTTGATATGGTTGTCTGTGCAGCTCTGGGCTGTGACATGTTCGACTG